ACACACAATACTCTAAACTCTTTTCTGTACACTACCAAACTGAAAATTCCAGGTAGATTACAGTCTGAAGCAGCAGCACACTGTTTTGAATGCTGCATGTCACAGACAAGCTCCCCTCTTGGTTCCACCCAGGGTGACTCTCATTTTTATTTCTGGTACAGGTGTGCTCAACACAGCATGTCTCTATGACCCAAGGGAAAATTCCAGGGGTCTCTGAATGGGGAGATATTTATTAGAACTTAAAAAATCATAAGCTTTTCAGAAATTCAGCTCTGCTTATCCTTTGTTTTAATAACAGAAATTACAAATAATTATCGTAGCTAAATGATTTAGAGTAATAAAAATAAACTCATAATTTTTTCTATTTATTAAGCATGTATAACATAAATATTTTGGTTAAGAAGTCACTTTAAAATATTTATTTCAAGATGCTCTTGAAGTAATCTCGTCCACAGAATCCGGTGAAGGAACTCTAGTATTTTTGGTTGACAGATTATGTACTAAAATATTTGTAGTCATGTCATTGCTCATATTTCTATTTTTCTTCTCATAGATTCTGGAATAGTATCTAAACATTAGGTTTAGTTAAAATTTTATTATTTTTAAGTTTGGGTGTCTGTGAACTGATAATGCAGTTCTTTGTTATAGCTTTGTTGCTCTTCTTTGAGAATGCATCAGATAAACATAAACAGACACACAAACACACACAAAAACACACACACACTCTTTCCTTAACAACATTTGAGTCTCAAGGGCACTACACTAGACAAATAAGGAAAATATGCTCTCACATTATGCTAGATAAAAATTCAAGCGTGGAATTCATAAATTAAATACAGAGTAGTGATTACAAAATTCCATCGAACTAGAAAGTGACGCCCTAACCAAAGCTGAACCCAAGCTCCATGAGGGTTTGACCAATGCCTGTTTATCTTCAGTGCTGTTTCACAGCTGCCTGGCACAACAGTTAACATATGCATATTTGAAGAACGAATAAATGGATGACAAAACAAATGAATATGTTAATGTAGGAATAAATGAATACTTTGCTAATTTTACCAATAAAATATTGGTAATTCGGAAAATCCTGATGCTAAACTGTGAAGAAAAGATTCTATAATTAACATATGCTTCAAAATCTCAAAGTAACTTAATTTTTATTACTGAAGCAATTCTACTCCAATTGTTTTAGGACAACCGGAAAATACAGCATGCAAGAAGTAATAATCATCCAAATCTAAGAAATAAATATTGTTGAAATCTCGGAATGTCTCTTTCCACATTTACTTCTGCAAATCTGTGAAAATTTAGAAAAGTTTTACTCTAATGTACATATGGGTTTTTGTAACGAGTTTTGCCCAGATAAAATATATTATGGGCACATTTCTGTGTTCATAGAATTATCATTGACATTCGTTTTTAATGGTGGTATGTCAATTGAATTTTTGCTACTGTCTTAATTTTTGAATCAGCTTTAAGTTAGTCATTATTATTATTTCTCATAATTATTCACCCCATGACACACATTCTACTTTGGAGAATCATTCTGTTCCAAATTTATCCAAGATTTAGTGTTGATGGAAAAAGCGAGTTCTAGACCCTTTTGCCTTGTTTGTGGTGCAATGTACTGCTTGCATCTGTTGCTCTGACTTGAAAATCTCATTAATGCCTGGAGTTGAAAGGAGGTGGAGAGGAGACTGTGATTTTTATTTTTCCTAAAATCTCTGTTAAAGAGGAAATGTCATTTGTTTTAGTTTATTAAGATGTAAAACAGCTATAAAATGTAATGTGTAAATATACATCATCGACTAGTGTCTTAATTTTCTTCCCTTAAAACATTTACTCAGTGGTCCCATATTAAAATAAATTCTTCAGTAATAGTCAGTCTCCTTGGGAATACATGAAACATCATATTAGGAAATAAGATATATTTTATATGTGCATAACTTTCTTTGTGAAGCAAATCCTCTTTGTAAGTTGAGATACTAACTGAAATAATTATAATAAAAATAACATTATGGATATGTTATGTTTTGTGTAAAAACTGTAATTATAACCAAAGGGAAAAAAACCTTTATAAGTTAAAATTCAGTAGACCAACTTGATTTTGCATGGATTAATTCTCTTGGCCTTTTTAAGGTGCTTTTATTTTCCCAATAGAAAGTGTAATTTTAACCATAACAATTATCTTGCAAATAAATATTTTTCAAAACTAAAGTAAATTCTCCACTCTACTTGATTACAAAGCTTATTTAGCTCAGAATAGTGTTGCAAATAGTCACTCACCCTTTCGTCCTGGAAAAGTAATGATTTATGCCAAGCACAAGGCAGGAAATATACTTAATTTATTCATTGCACAACCTATACACCACCTCAGGGTGGGGTGGTAGGGAAGGCTGGAGAAACATTGTGAGCTAATAAATTATTTCTCCTTGTTTGGAAGCCTGTCACTATGGTATACTGCTAGTAAAGCTTACAAATGATTTTTATTCTGGAGATGTTGATAAAAAAAGAAAAACATTGAGCTGTATGATTAAGCTCTGCCTATTTTTCTTTATAAAATTTCAATAGGAAGATGTATTATTAATTAGGCTTTCACCAGAAAATTGTGAACAATGAATCTACATAAAAGTAATCTAAAATTTTCATGATTTTTTCTTTTTCTCAAATGTGAAAATTTGTTTTCCTGATTTCTGGACTGTCTTCATGTTAGTATTCTCTGCAAATGTCAACATTTGAATAAACTTCCCAGATCCTACTCCTAGACAGACGTCTACATGGTTGACATAATCCAGATAATTCATGCAAAAATACGCAAATAAAAAACTCCTCTTATTGCCTTTGTAACATTCTTATTTTTTTTTCTTGACCTGAATTACCCCCATATTAGATCTCTGTAGAGCACCAATTCAAAAATAAATATTAACCCAACACTTTATTTTGTGTTGTGTAGACTTGGCAATGTACAGCCAATAAAAGCTACGTTAGAGCATCTGAACACTCAATTTAACCCTGAAAATTTGCATTTATAATTGATGGTTATGTTTAGCTGATTAACAGTATAGAGAAACACTCTGAAGATTACCAGTGAATTCCACTTATTTTGTAAAATAAACCCTAAGTAAGACACTGGTTGAATTTCAATCTACTCGCGATGAGATGGATTATAAGGAATTTCATGTGTAGACTCCTAAATTAATTTTTCTAAAATAAGATAAACACCAAGAGGCAAAAAGTTAAAGAAATAAACTCAGCAAACATAATGACATAGTGAAAAGATTATTTGGTCATATTGAAATAGCTCGAGTGCTATTGCTGAATGTCTTGATGCTTTCAAAGACAAGTAATTTAACATTACGTACATTTAAGTTAAAAAAATAAAACGGGCCCATCCATGCTGATGATGCTGAATGAATCTCAGAATATTAAAGAATAATGTTGATGATGCTAAATGAATCTAGAAATATCACACAAATTTAGCATTAACCAATTTAAGAAAAAACAAAGGGCCCTCTGAAGAAATATTTTCCCTCAATGTTTGTGTCATCTTATAATTTTAAAAATAAAATTACCATGATAAAAGACTGCCTGCAATAAGACTCAGTGAAATACAGTAATTAATATTTTTATATTTATTTATTGCATTTGATTTCAATTTTAGATAGAAGCAAAAATTTTAAATCATTTTCTTCATTGTTACTGAAAACTTTAAGTTTTATCATTGCAGTGAGAATGGGAAGACAAAAAAAACCTCCTCAAACATTCCCTTTAACTGAATAAGTATTTCATTTGATCAAAAGTGATGAATGAAACTTTCGTTGCTGTTATTATTGATAACTTTGTGAATTATTGTAGATTTTAAGGGAAGAAATAAGAAAGTCTACCTACAGAAGAAGCAGTAGGGTATAGTGCCATGGGTATTGATTACAATCACTTAATTAAGGCCTTTTCCTGACCTCCAACAAGCCACATACAGCGTTTTTCATATATTCAGTGTACATGTATTAAGCTTATAACAAGTACAATCATGTGCAGGATGCTGTGGATGATACAAAGATGACTATGAATTTTATTTTTTTATAGCTCTCCTTTCTTCCAGAAATAATTTTAGGTGGTACAAAGACATAAAACACAGCCCTTATGGAAAATACTATGGAGGTTCTAAAAGAAATTAAAAATAATTTCCCTTTTGAGTATATACCAAAAGGAAATGGAGTCTCCAGCAGTAAACATCTCTGCATTCTTGTATTCATTGCAGTATTATTCACAATAGCCAAGATACGAAATCACCCTAAGTGGTCATCATCAGACAAATGGACAAACTGTGGTGTGTGTGTATGTGTGTGTGTGTGTGTGTGTGTATGTGTTTATAGTGTGTATGTGTATGGAATATTATTCAGCCTTAAAAAAGAAGGATATCTGGTAATTTGCCACAGCATGCCACATGCCACATGTCCTGGAGGACATATGTTAAGTGAAATAAGCCAGACACAAAAATAAAATATTGCATGATTTTCTACATGGACTTTTTAAGTCAAATATACAGAGATAGGTAATGAAACCATGGTTTCAAAAGTTGAGAGTGGCTGGAGAAAATGAGAAGATATAGCCTAAAGGAAACGAAACAGATATGTAGAATAAATATTGTAAAGATCTAACTTACCACATAAAGGCCATCATTATTGTTTATAGTTACAGTGGACTCTATTCAGGACTTTTTTAAAATGAGTACATTATAGCTGCTTTTTTTAAATGAGTACATTATAGCTGCTTTTGCCACAGAGGGGCAAATGGGCAACTCTGTGAGATGATGAATGTGTTTATTTGCTTCACTATAGTAATCATCTTACTGTATATATGCATCTCAAAACATCATTTTGTATACCTTAAATATACACAATAATATTTATTAAAACAAATGTAAAAAAAAAAACTCCAAGCAAAACAAAACCAACATAATGCTTGAAATATATATGTATATTTTTGCATCTTTTCCTCACCTTATTCACATAGGATCCCAATTCTCTTTAGAAACATGAGGGTCGGGATTTTCGGCCCCAAGCAAGCAGGGAGAGGGGTGCTTCCCTGGAGGTTGGCCGATGGGTTCTGATGCTCTTAAAACAGCAGCAGGCACCAATGGGGCAGCAAGGGCCAAAGTTGCAACAGCAGTGAGGGATGAATGTGCCTGCCCTAAGAGCCCTCGCAGATTGGCTCTCAGCTCCGGTGACGCTGCCCGATTCCACACCCCAGAAGACTTTTAATTACTGATGTAATGCTTAACTAATAGTAGTCTGGGTTTAGTCAACACACTACATCCTAAATGATTAGATTTCCAGAACATTTTTTTCATGCTGCTCTCCACAGCACCCACAACTCTCAAGAACTCTTATTGACTCAAAGTGACCTGATTTAAATTGAATAATGATGGAGTCAATAGTTTGCAAATGGCTAACAGAAATGACAGAGATTGCTATTTTATCATTAGTACTATTATTTCAGCCGGTGCTTTTGTTTCTCTCTTATTTGAAAATAAAGAAAATATAATGGGCATGAAAGAGAGAGAAACAAATTAGGCATTTGAATGTGCCTCCATGTTATAACCTGTCTCTTTGAAAATATAAATCCTTCTCAGAAGAGCATGTCTATGACTCATGTTAAACAAATTTTTATTTTGCTTTAGCATAATTGAACATCCCGAAAGCAGAGCAAAAACATATCCCATGCTATGATTAGGTAGCAGTTCACAATTAACGAAAAGGTATGAGTCTAGGTAAGATGGCCTCAAGATGTCTTGAATATATTTACTCATTTTAACAGTCTGAGCTAAGGCAAACACAAACATGGTGAACTAAGCTGACCCCTCGGTAAGGTCACAGGTTCTCAGGAACATTCTAAATATCTCCATATATGTGCTTGTGCATATATCTAAATATCTGTAATATCTTTAGATATTTAGATAACAAAAGGATACCTGTAAAGCACTTAGCACTGTGCCTGGCACTCCATAATTGATGTCAGCTATTCGTGCACATTTGTTCACTCATTCATTCATTCATTCACACACAATCTGCATTCCTCCCTGAGCTAGGTGCTGTGGTGTGCTTGTGCATATATCTAAATATTTTTAATACTTAGAATATATGGAAATCATCTTCTAAAATGACTTTCTTTGACTCCCAGAAATAAATAAGCATATATTTTCTATAATCTTTCAGATAGATCCACAGGTCTTCCTTGCTTATATTTGCCCCACTCTAACTTTCTTTTGGCATATTTTCAATATAATCTCTCACTTCCACTCATTTATCTCACTCCTATATTCATATAATTTTATATATGTGCCTTACTGCTAAGAACATTCAACTAACTACACAAGGAGGTATTTCCTCATTCCCTTATTTATGTATCTGTTTCACAAAGGTCCATTAATGATATGTTTCTTTTATCTGAAGCTAAAGGTTAATCACAACAAAGAACTGAAGATGATTGAAACAAATTCTGTGGTGTTACATATTCCTAATCTCCGCCCAATACTAGTCCCCATCTTTCTCCCCCTTTCCCCAGGCTTAGGCTATTTGTCAGTTTCTTGACTTGAGATTGTGAGCCTACAGGGCAGATGTGATGTACTGTTCCGTCATTCTGCCTGGCTCAGAGCATGATGTTGGTGCTTACAGAAATGTGAAACATAATACCAATAATAATTGCATGCAGTGCATTCAGAAAATGTTCGTTAAATAACAGTTATGTAGTAGCCAGCTTTGTGTCTTCCTGTGAATACAGATGAGTGTGTGTGTGTCTGTATGTGAATGTGTGTGCAAGTATGTAAGTGTGTATCCAAATACACCCACCCCCACCCCCACACACATAGATTTAGGAAAAATGCATAAACCATTTCTCCTTTGTTTCTATATGCTTTTTTTTACTGTCATACTGAACACAAAGTCTCTAATCATTTCTTATACAGTATCAAAATGTTGTATATTTCAGCTGTGTGTCCAGCTTTGGGTGGACAGTATAGGAAAATGGTTTGGGGAATCAGCCCTGAATAGAGCTGGCTTTTTTAACATTAGTAAAAATAATTTGATCTTAATATTTTATTTTTAGGTAACCAGATTTAATTAAAGTAAAAATAATCATGTTCTCATATAAATCATTTACCAATTAGTAAACAATAGTGAAGTATAAAATATTTCATGATACGTAATTTTTATTTTTCTTATGGAATTACTAATGTGAATCACGAGACACAAACACAGGTCTTCACGTGGGCCTTTAAACTATCTATGGGTAGTAAAACAAGATTATAATCAATCAGTGTTGTGCCAGTACATGACTTGATAGGATAAAATACAGCTAGTTTACAAAAGCTGGAATGCATTAATTAAGCCTTTATGATTTTGGAAGGAAAACCATGCAGGTGGCATTATCCTTATTCTTTATAGGATTTCTGTTTTTAAGATGATCTGAGATAGATATTTTTGAGGTTTCTTGCTATCTCTATAACAGTGAAAAGAAAATTGGGGCATTTTTTGTTGTTTTTTTTTTAAATCTCTAAAAGGCAGCCCTGCCCTACTTTCACCTGAACATAACTTCACATTTTATTATCACATTCAGAACAAAGGCTGCTGCACATGAAGTTTCAATTGCTCCAACGAAAATCCATCTGATGCTGTATGGTTCTGTACTAAACAGATCCTAATTTGGTCTGAAAAGAAAATTAAATCCAAGCAAGAATTCAGGAAGAAAAACAAAGAAACTAGGATTTCTTTTGTGTCCTCAAGGGGAAAAAAAATGTGGGGCATGTAGAATATTACGAAGCGTTAAGGTACAAAATGTGACTCCATCTTAACGAAAAAAACGTTTAATGAGGACTTACTATGTAGAAGACATGGTTCTGAGCATCCTACATGAATCATTTCACTTAATTATCTAACAGTCCTACAATGCAGGTGTTACGTGTCCCAGATTTACAATGGATATAAGTATTTACGACTCAGAGAGGTTATGTGACATATTTTTCTCACACAGTGACTAAGTAGTATAACAAACATTCAGATTTAGGCAAGTCGAATTTCTTTTCTTTTCTTTCTTTCCTCTTTTTTTTTTTTTTTTTTGAGATTGAGTCTCACTCTGTCGTTACACTGGAGTGCAGTGGAGCGATCTCGGATCTCGGCTCACTGCAAGCTCTGCCTACCGGGTTCAGGTGATTCTCCTGCCTCAGCTTCCTGAGTCACTGGGACTACAGGTGCGCACCACCATGCCTGGCTAGTTTTTGTATTTTTAGTTAGACACGGGGTTTCACCATGTAGGCCAGGATGATCTCCATCTCTTGACCTCGTGATCTGCCTGACTCAGCCTCCCAAAGAGCTGGGGTTACAGGAGTGAGCCACGGTGCCTGGCCAAGGCAAGTTGAATTTCATCTGCACTTAACTATTTCAACTAGTATTTGGTATCAACTTAGCCAACAAGAGAAACTTAGTATTTATGAATATTATAGACAAAGCAAGATTTCAAAATCCTAAATGATTATTGGATATTTGGGGTAAGATATATGGTGTATTTCTCTTTTGCAATAAAATGGTGGCTAGTAAAATCTAGCATAGAGCAAGGTAAGAAAGTTTAAATCCCTTCTTTTGGCTTTTTTGGCAGCTTTGATAGAATAGTTCAAATGGATGACTAAATCAAATTTTGGGAAGAATAGTGGTTCGGTTGATTGGCAAACCTGTTTTTCATTGATATAGACAATTAAAATCTCATGCAAAAGGTTAAGTTTATTATACAATGTTTCAGTTTCTGTTATACTAACCACTAGTTGATTTTTCCCCTTTCATTAATAGACCATGGCCAGCAAGTATTCTGCTACTTTGCTATATGTCAACAGCAACTGTAATTAAAAATATATTAAGTCTACTACATGGTAATAGCATCCAAGACAAATCATAGCTGGGCTGCAGATGGCAGCTTCTCTTCAGAAAGGCATTCTTTCTTTTCTCAATGCAGTAACTGTTGCACTTCCCTAGTAGAAGAACCTGTGTTGTGGAAATGATGTAAGTTCCACTAAGGTTTGAGCACATAAGAGGAAAAAAATAGTTAGTAAAATTTGAAATGGTTTGAAAAATAATTGTCTGCCAAAATATAATTCACTTCTCAGAATTAAGAAAAAAAAAAAACTCCACCCATATTTACCATTCAAGCTCTTCCTTAGGACTTTCTTACATCCTTGCTTCGCTTTCTGTATTTTAAATCTGATAGACTATCCCTGAATGCATCCAAGTCACATAAAGTACAGCCAAAGGCACAAATGATAAAAAGTCATACAAAACCAGGACATAATTCAGAATGAAAACAAGTTATATGAATGAGAGGGTTGCAACCTGAGTGTAATATTTGTTTTGTTTGATGTTTGATGAGCCAGTTCTTGTTGGTAGGGGCTTAGTTTTATTTCCTTGGCCTCAGTCTTGGACTTATAGAAAATGTATGTCCCAGGCTGGGCATGGTAGCTCATGCCTGTAATCCCAGCACTTTGGGAGGTTGAGGCGGGTGGATCACCTGAGGTCGGGAGTTCGAGAATAGTGTGATTAATATGGTGAAACCCTGTCTCTACTAACATACAAAAATTAGCCGGGCATGGTAGTATGTACCTGTAATCCCAGCTACTTGGGAGGGTGAGGCAGGAGACTCACTTGAACCCAGGAGATGGAGGTTGCAGTGAGCCAAGATTGTGCCACTGCACACCAGCTTGGGGATAGAGAGACTCCATCTCAAAAAAATTTATATATATATATATATATATGTGTATGTATGTATATATCTCACGAGTTAGTTTGAGATCATTCTCATTCCATGGAAAGACAATATAATGAAAAGCATTTGGTGTTTACCAGATAAAACATAAGCCTTCATTATGAATGAAGGTCATTTGGGTACCAGGGTAAATCAGCAGGTATCAAATGGAGCAACAGAAAGGTGGGGAGTCTCCATCTTCAGAGACAAATCTGGGCATACTTTAAAAATATTTAATTTGTGCTAGGAACCCTTCCACTACTTATTCTGTACCTCAGGTGATCACTGTCTTTATATTTTTCGCAAGTGTCCTGCCCCTGAGGGTAGACCATCATCTAAGCATTAACTACCTATCAAAATTTGCCCAGCC